GTCTGTTGATGGCAGTCAAAGAGAGGAATGTACCTGCCCCACGGGGAGCCAGAAGAAGACAATGTGCAGCCGGTGCTGGGGTGGGAGGACAGGGAGCGGGTTACCTTTTCGATGGTAAAAGCATCCAGCAGTGTTTGCCCGCTCAAAGCCCTGCATGCACAATTGCTCCCTTGCCGGAGCAGTTAGATACATAACCCATGTCAGGCCTGATCCTAGATGCACTGAGCACCTGAACCCCTCCACTGACTTCAGTGGCAATTGCTGGGCTACGGCTCCTCTCAGAAGCAGCCCGGGGGTGGGGGGGGCAGATGCAGGTTTCATGCAGACAAACCCAGGTGCCGATCAATATTTGCAGAAGCATTTTGAGGGCCCAGGAAAATGTTGGCTGTAAAGAAGAACATTTTCTAAAAAGCAAAGTTTGTTTTTTTTAAATGGTGACGAAGGAATAAGATTTAACGAAAGGAATTAAGCAACAGGGGAACAGGGTCGGAGAAACAAGTTAGTAACTGTAATGATTAAAGACCGACACTCAATTCTTGCTGCTTAACTCAGTAATTAGTTGATATTAAAATCTCATTTTGGTAACAGTGCGTAGTGAATATTAATAGATCACCTATTAATAATGCATTTTAATGGCGCAAGAAGGGTTATGTTAACTATAAATATACAGCGTAACTAGCTTTCACACTAAAAATCTTGCCTGCTGAATAAATCACCGAGGCTGATTCAGAATGAGCTAATTTGCCTCTGTTTCGTGGATCAGAGTCTAACTAAGAAGACACTGAGCATCAAACAAGCTTGGTAAGTGATCTGTGTTCCACCGTAGAACTTAGGGACCTAAAAGGCATCTACTCAGAAGATCCAGATACAGAAAGGGGTATGAGAAAGCGTGATGTAGTGGTTAGAGCAGGAAGTCAAGGCTTAGGGTTGTAATAAAGGTGCCAGACACGAGATTGCTGGGGGGAGAGCATGGGGGACACGGGCCAGGGTTACAAAAGGGTAATACCACCATGACATGGCAAAGCTCACTATCCAGTAACTCCAGGTGTCTCTCTCCTTCTTGGGTCTCCAACCGAATGGTCTCACCTGGTTCATTGAAATGACAATGGGCCTCTTCCAAGTGATGTTGCCTGGGTCACGGCACTCCGGACATTTCTGCAGGCCTAGGTAGCCATTTGCAGTGCCCTTGCTCCCACTGGGACGTATTGTCGATCACCAGTGATTCCAGGCCTGGGGCAGTCTGGATGCTTCGCCCCTCTCGGATTTCTCTACCATGACCCTTGCCTCCAGGAGAGTCTGGAACGCTGCGGCCCCCTGCTCAGCTCTCTGCCGGGTTCCCTTCCGGACTGGGATTCAGGAGCCTCATTTGTTCCATTTTTGCTCCGAGGTGCAGTTTTCTCCTGGCACCGTGTCATAAAGGAGTACCCGTAAGGGATTGGTCTTTATTTCCTGGCCGCAGTCACGTGACACGAATGTTCACGTCGGTTACGGTCTTCACTGGCTGCCGTGGCTACTGTTACATGGATTGCTCTTCGGACTCTGCGCTCCCCAGCCCCAGCGAGGTGCAGAGCTAATTCTGTACACCCACCGCATTGTCTGAGCTGCACCACAAACCACCGTCTCACAAGTGCTCCTCCCACGGCTGCATAGCACTCGCTCAGACAGAAAGGAAGGTATTTCTTCCTCCTGCGGCCGGGCTTAAAGCATGGGAGCTTAGATCACCATTGCGTCTAGTCCGCCGCTTCCCACGGTGCTGTCAGAGTGCAACCTGGTGGTTGCTGGGCTTTATTCAAACCTCATGCAGCAGTGTCGTCATCCAACCGGAGGTCACTCCTGTGAGATATTGGCTTCAGACTAAGGGACAGGTCAGCTGCTGGTGTGAGTCAGTAAAACTCTGACAATTTACACTCGCTGAGGGTCTGTCTCTAAGCCCCTAATTCTCTCCTGTTACACCAAGCCTACACTTGGATAACTCTGTAGAGTCATCCAGCTGTAAAGCTGGTAACAAGACAGCAGAGGATCAGACCTAAATTATTATCTGCCATAAGGTAACAGAGTTTTAAGAGTGTACGAGAAAATAGAGGGGAAATAAGACAAAGGATTCTGGGCCAAATCCTCAGGAAATGTAAACTGGCATGGGTCCATGGCCTCCATGGAGATACGTCAGTTCACACTAGCTGAGGATCTGGCCCATGCTCTCAAGCTCTGGCATTGAAGGGCTGGGAAACACAGCTCCAGGGCATAGCCCTGGCAGACTCCCCAGAGCAGAGTCTGGCAACCTGGGCTTGACCTGTGTCCACACTGTAAAATGCCTGAGCTTTGACCCATGTCATGGTGGGACTCAGGCTCTGACCCACCTGCCCTCGCAAGGTCTGCAAGAGTGAGTACAGAGCAGTTCCCCAAGTCAGACTAAATTCTGGATGGAAGCAGGGTTTCGGCTGAAGCCTGCATCAGAGCCCGGGCTTAATGTGCTGTGCAGCCAGACCCAAAGAAACCACCTCAGAAAATTCTACATGAGTAATCTGGCACACACTGGTCAGACAAGGGTTCCTGACAGATTACGTTACAAGGAAAGGCAAAGGCAAAGGCATGGTCCAGCAGAGATTCCAGGCATGGAATCCCAACACTGCAGCGGTCATGTGCCTTACAGGAGATGTCAGCTTGTCTCCTGCTGAGCCTCAAATCGGACACGCGTTAAATCTGTGAGCACGTTAAATCGTTCACTTACAAGGCGGTAAATGTGGAGTACTGCCTTCTACTTCAGGAGCGTTACTCCAGAATTATGCCACAACTGAGAGCAGCCTTAACTGCTCCTCTTATAACAGGGGCCTTCAGGCTTTCTGTTCCCAGCATGCAACGTTCCATCTTCATCCGAGTTCTGTTGAGAGGAACATGGAGCACTGCATGCTGGGAATGGTCGTCTCTGTAGGCTGCAACTCCACACTGAAGTGTCATTCCAATAACGTGCCTCCTTCAGGCTTCTACCAAGTTGCCAATGTAGCCCTCCTGCTGGGCCAACTTCGAGCCTGAACTTGAAGCTATTTGTAGAAGAGTTTCTATGGCTCATTCTCCATTGACTCACACCCCCACTCCCAGGCAGCATCTGAACCAGGGGGACCTGTCTCTTGCTAGCCCTGTCATGAATCTAAAGGAACAATTTCTTTTAAAAGACTAAAAGCAGTTAGAAGTGAGCTTGCCCGTGTCACCTCGTTACAGAGATACTCTAACCTGTCCCTTATTATTATTTATAGTATCATAATGTGCAAAGGTCTGAGCTGTGATCAGGGCCTCTGTTTGTGCTGTCTGCTGGATCACAGCCCAATTCCTTGACCGCAAGCCCAAACTACCTCCCCTTTGCTGCTTCTTGTTAGCAGAGCTCACAGAGGTTCGCTTCTTTAGTGAAGTCTTTGCTCGCCAGATGAGGCGTCTCACGCAGGGAGAGTCTAACAGCCGCCGTACTATTTTGGTTGAGATTGGCCTTGGAGCTATATATAAAGATACACACTCGCTGCTAGACGCACATGGACAACTGTCACCTTGCTCCTTCATGGCAGAAAGGCAGAGCGAGCCATGCACCAGAACAAGTCACAGCCTTTGAAATAGCTCTGTTGTATTAAGGACACCACAGCCCAGGAGGAGCAAAAAATAATTCTCATCCGATACCGCGGCTGGTTCTCTTAATCCCCGGCCCCAGAGAAAGGAACCAGTGAAGAGAACTGAGAGTTTGGGACTGTAAAACTGAAAACACCCCCAGAACCTTCTTTCAACAGAGAACCTGCTGAGGAGACAGCACACAGCCAGGATGAGCGAGGCGTCTGTCCTGGAGAGAACAACCTTCCTACTCCTGCTTTGCCTTTGTACAGGTAAGAGGACTGCACTGTTCTCCTTATCAGGACTCCGGTTTAGCCATCCCAGTCCGGTTGTAGGGGGTTTGCTCTGGGTCTGACAACTCTGGAGACTGAAATCTTCCATTTATCACAGAGCAGGGGACAGCAGTGAAATCTTCCCCACTCCAGCCATGTGCATTAACCCTGCTGTGGAGGGACTCCCCTCTAGCAATGCCAAGGTAGTTCGGCCTCTTCTCCCCATTCGTTCCATGTTCCTCTGCTACCTTTAGCTTTCAGCATCTTCCCTTCCTATCCCTCAGTCACTTTACTGTGAAAGGACCCAGCCACATTTACAGCCCTGGACAGCGCAAAGGCCTTTGATCTCAGCCAGAACCAGGGATGATATTTTAAAGTACCAAAGTGACCACTAGCTGCTGAGCAATATCAGTGGCGCACACTGTGCAAACGTAGACGTGCTGCTGCAGGGGTGACTTTCCTGAAACGGGACCTCTAAGCAATCCCCCACAGCACTGCACTGATGTAGTTGCCTCATGCATTTAATTTTGTGTCCCCATGTTTTCCTTCCCCGATGCCCACAACAAGCATTAGCTCATGAAGTTGCTGTGATGGACACGATACTAAAAACAGAGCTAGACTAGAAATCTCTAACTTTCTCTCTCACTCTTCCCGTACCAGTGCGCCAGAACAAATTCATCCCATGCTGCAATCAGCTGCAGGCTCGCTAGTGACGCACCCACCCCTGCCCCACTTAGGGGTCCAGCTCCTGAGCTCATAACTAGAATCAGATTTAGAAAAACCTGGGAGGGCTTGGAAGATAAAGTGTTTCAGGGCATTATTTTAAAGGATTATTTTCTCTTCCTCTTCTGGGCTCTGCAGATGCTGCTGCCCCGGGCGTGTATCAGTCCCCGCCCTGCATCGTTGCGGCTGTGGGGTCAGAGCTCATTATGGAGTGCAGGTTCCCTCCCATGGAGGCAAGTGAAATAGCTTTTATCTCATGGTACAAAGAGAAGAGGAGATTGAGCCTCTCAGACAGGCCCTTTACGCAGTCTGAAAACTTCACAGCAGGGTCTGCTTCTCTTCGGATACCTCATGTGCAGACTAAGGACGCTGGAGTCTATACCTGTGAGGTGGGGAATATCACCCACAGCTCTCCCGGGAATGGCACAAAACTGGAAGTTCACGGTAAGCGGGTGCCAGCCTGTGCAGTGAATGTCCTTTACTCATTTCTCCTTGCCAGTGGACGAGCTGCAGCGTGGGAGTAGAGGGGGCGTTGCAGGGAGGTAATGTGGGACGGCCGGATGGTGGGTGAACTATGGCTGGGGAGAGAGGGGAATATTGAGGGGGTGGGGCTGAAGGGTGCGTGGTGGGAGTGAGACAGGCAAGCTAAGGAGAAGCACTGGCTGAGGGAGCCACCTGCTCGGACAGATGTCACGTGACAGCGGTCACGGATCATAGCCCAAACTTCAATCAGTCCATGGTGCCCAGGGGTGGATGTAATAGCAAATCTTATCCCAGCTGAGGGTGTGGACACACTCCGTGGCTGATGCAGCATCATTGTCTGAAGCACAACTGATTGACTGCTCTAGTGTAGATAAGCTCTTAGTGTTGATTCAGTCTCACTTGAGTGATTCGGTGGCAAATAGAGGAGCTGGGGGCACACGGAGGGAGTAGGGCTCATTCTGTGCCAGTTAGGAAGGTTGGAAACGAGACCCGAGCCAAATCCTCCTCAGCTGGGAGAAGAGACCCGCCTGCAGATCAAAGGTGAAAACCGCAAACCATGCTTGAGATCTTAATTCTTTGAATGGGGAAAGGTAATTAAAGCTAATTCCAAATGCTGGCTAGTGGGAGAGCCCCTGAGAGCCAGAGGGGCATGTGTCCCACCTGCTTTTCACATGGTTGTTATGGCCTTATTCTAAACCAAACCCCAGAAGTCCCATTAGAAGCTCTTGTCCCCACTGAGGGCTCTGTCAAGGGCAATGTTTTGATTCTGCAAAACTGGGGCTATTCACACGAGCAGGGAGTCTAAGCTTGACCATGTCAAAAGAAGCCCTTTTATCTGAGGGCCAGAAGAAGCAGCTGAGAGGTGTTTTAGCTGGTGGCAGACACCTTCCTCTCCCCCTAAAGCTCAGGTAAGCCCAGAGCCCACCACTCACTGTTAGGGGCTAGAAAGAAACAACCCTCTGGACAGGTGTGAAGCGGTTACTCACTGGCCAGCACGCTCCCTTGTGGCCAAGCGTAGTGCAGCAGGCTCTTCACATCTGGTGCCCCATCTTGCAGCTCAGCCCTCCATCCAGGACATGGATAGTCCCATCCCTTCCAGGGTAGTAAAAAGCCCAGCCAAACAAGAGTGTCATGACCTTATGCCAGGCCTTCAGCCCCACCCAGGGCTCAGGGTCCTTGTCCCCCTGCACCAGAGGGGCTTAGACGTCCCTTTCTTTGGGGGGTCAGTAGAAGAATGCAGGCCAGCCCCGGAACCCTGTATTATGCAGCTAAGGGCTACTGCTACCTCAGACTCACTGCTACTTTCCTGGGCTACTTCCTACCTTCATCTGCCTCCAGGCCTTTCCCAGAGCAGCTCCCACCCCCCCTCCTTGGGCTGCTTCCTACCAGGCTGACTGTGGCAGAGCCCACCAAGATTCCTTTGAAAATCCCAGCGTCCAAAGTGAGACTCTCTGTGTTGCTGATTTATGTTCTAGGTTCAGGTCAGAAACCGGAGAATCAAACTGCAAGAGAAGGGTGTGTTCATTTTACTGCGCCCCAGCAAGGTAATCACGGCTGGGGCGGGGGAGGGGAAGGATACCTACCCTATTTCATTATCAAAGATGATCAATTTTAGAAAATTAGAAACAAAATAGTGACACAAACAGATTTTCAGCCATATGAGGTGTCTAATTTGATCTTGCTCAACCAGATAACTAACTTGTGCACACAATTATCCCTGATAACTGCACACACACTCACACAATCACATGCACGTTTCTCAGGTGCACTTGCACATCAGGCCCTGAGGTTATACTTTTAAAGATGAGCTGGATTAATTGTATCGAACAAACAACAACCCTTCACTGAACACAGTTAAACACAGGCCCAGGGTCAGCTCCACAGCTAGTGTAAACTGATGTTGTTCCACTGACGTTAATAAAGCAACATTAATTTATAGCAGCTGAGAGTCTGGCACGTGAAATCGGTTCCTCCCTCCATCCTTTGAACCCAGAGCTCCTCCACCTCCAGAAACCTGAAATATACCGCCAAGAGTGAAATGTATGTAGTCAGCTCTGAAAATTCACTCTTCATTAGTATTTGCGCTAGTATTAGTCAATCAGATACCACAAGGCCGGATGGATGAACTCTTTCTATAGAATACTCACAGAAATCAAACACAACCAAGGGTGTAATCATAGTCAAAGCAAATTAAAAATGTAAACCTGTATTTGCAGAAATTATTTTGCAGTATTTACCCAGCTCTTGAAATCACACCCTGTGCACTTAAACTCACTCTGCATTTTTTGTGTAGTGTTTTTATGCATGGTAAGACAGCTGTTGCATTCCACCTCAGAGGTGGCTGCATTTCAGTCATGTGCAATGCTACTCCTATATTTACAAAAACAACGAGGAGTCCTTGTGGCACCTTAGAGACTAACAAATTTAATTGGGCATAAGCTTTCGTGGACTCACTCTGAACTCTGGGGTACAGATGTGGGGACCCGCGTGAAAGACCCCCTAAGCTTATATTCTACCAGCTTAGGTTAAAAACTTCCCCAAGGCACAAATTCCTTTCCTTGTCCTTGGACAGTATTGCTACCACCACCAAGTGATTTACACAAAAATTCAGGGAAGGGTCACTTGGAGTCCCTATTCCCCCAAAATATCCCCCTAAGCCCCTTCACCCCCTTTCCTGGGGAGGCTTGAGAATAATATACCAACCAATTGTCTTTAATGTAAGTACAGACCAGACCCTTTATCTTTAGGACACTAAAATCAATCAGGTTCTTAAAAGAAGAACTTTATTATAAGAAAAAAGTAAAAGAATCACACCTGCAAAATCAGGATGCCCAAATAAATTTGTTAATCTCTAAGGTGCCACAAGGACTCCTCCTTGTTTTTGCTGATACAGACTAACACAGCTACCACTCTGAAACCTATATTTACAGTGTATAATTTGAGCAGTCAGCCAGAAAAGCACTTTCGGTTCCATTTGGATGAAAGGTGCTACATAAATGAAAGAGCTTTTAATCCTGTGGAATTTCCCTAGTCAACATGAACCTTAGCGCTAAGCCTGGCCTTGTCTACACTACAAAGTTAGGTTGACATAAGCCGCTTTACGTCAATCTAGTTGTGTATGTGTCTGCGTTTAAATTGGTCTCCCACAGATGTAAGTGCCCCATCATGCTGACATAGTAACACGACCTGCCCGAGCAGCATTGAGCCGAGGTCAATGTACAGAGGTTAACACAGTGCAAGTGTAGACACTTACTTATGGTGACCCTACCAATCTTCCAGCAGGTGTTCCACAATGTCTGATGCTGACCACTCTGATCACAATTGTCAGCTCCATTGCCCAGGGGTCATGTAGACTGGAAACCCCTCCCCCCGCTTTAAGGCCCTTGTGAATTTTTGAAATGACTTTTCCTGGTTGCGTAGAGCTTGGTGGACACACCTCTATCCGCTCTCCGCTGCTGTGTACAACTGACCATGGCAGCTGCACGCTTCAGACACGCTCCTCGCTGGAGTAGACAGGAGGTATTGGGGCTTCTAGGCCTGTAGGGAGAAGAGGCTGTGCAGGCACAGCTCCGAACCTGCTATAGAAACGTCAACATCTACCAGCAGATTGCTTGGGGATGCAGGAGGAGGGGTACCTTGGGGACGAGAAGCAGTGCAGCGTGAAAGCCAAGGAACTGCAGCAGGCGTACCAGAAGACCAGAGGCCAACAATCAATCTGGTGTCAAGCTGCTTTTTACAACAAGGTGCATGCCATCCTCAGCAGAGACATCCCCCGCACAGCACCAGATACCTCCAAGGAGCCCAAAGTCACAGGCCCCTGCTGTGAACAGTGAAGAGAAGGAAGTGGATGAGCTAGAGGAGGTGGCGTATGGGGGATGGGCAACTGGGAGATGCTGCACAGCTGGAAGCCAGGGCATGTTTTTGACTTCACCCACAGTGCAGCCAGTCTAGCACAAGTGAGCCCGATGCAGGGGAAGGAACCTCGGATAAGTGTGGAAATAAATTCTCCATTACGGGGAAGCAGTAAAATAGCAGGACACAGCTTTGATTTATCGTTAAGTTACTCCTGCTAGAAGAGGCAGTGGTACATCCAAGAGAGGCAGAGTTGATATCTACTTTTTGTTCACGTCTAGCGTTACGAGGGGGGCAGGGCATGCAGAGCAGTTTGTTTATGTACACAGGGATGTCCCTGGAACCCCTTTGAGAGATCTCCATGAACCTTCCATGGGGGTCCTCTGCTGAAGGTTTCTAGGGAGGGCAGCCTTATTTCTTCCTCCGTGGCAGGACACCTCCCCACACCCGTCTGTGATAACTTTGGCAGGCACTAATGCAGCACACAGGCTAGCAGCATATGGGCCTGGGGGGCTTTGGGACCCCAGCAGCAGCTGTGCTCTCTGTGCCTTTGTTACTCTCACAAGTGAGATATCAGCTAAAATCACCACCACCTGCGGAAAATGGTGCCAGCCTTCAGTGCCTTTTCCTTATACTCCGTTTCATGCAACCGAACAATTTCCTCCTCGTTTCCTTCACCCTTGGCAGGTCAGACTCACCATAGCTGGTGCTGCCAGTGGCACCGGGGTTCAGGAACTCCAAAGCACAAGCGTCAATAAGCTTGTCTTGTTTAACACTTTAGGGGAGCAAGGGAAGGGGGGGGCAGTTCTGAGTCTTAAGTTTCACTTTCCATTCCTACTCTCCTGACAATGGTACCTCTGTGTGTTTTATGTGGCCTCAAGGGGTTCTCCCTCCACACCAGGCGAACGACTGTCCCAGATAAGGAGGAGAGATTAAAAAAAGAGGACATGGGAGGCCATGTTCTGCAAGAGCCTTCAAGCCAGTGCTTTCCAGGAGGCCTGGAGGGTGAATATTGCAGACTGTACAGAGAAGGAAAGGGGGCAGGAGAAAGGCACAGGAGATGCTCCAGGACATAATAGAGCTGGTCTGACAGCAAACTCGGATGCTGCAAGCTTTTGTTGACCTCCAGGTTCAACAATCCTGGGCTCAACTCCCATTGCAGTCAGTGGAGAACTGCAGCATAGCTCCTCCCTACACCCCCCCCCCCTCAGCTTTTCTCATGGCCTCAGGGCCTACCCCTACCACTCCACACTGGGGGAAAAGCATAGACAGCCACAGCTTCATCTACATTGACCTGTGAGAGCCACAGTTGATGTAGGCGTAGCTACAATGGATATCAATGCTCCTTCCTCTTGTTCATTTACTAAATTTCCTCAATTTTTTAAAGTTAAAATATATTTGCCTTAAAGTTGTTCGGATTATTTTTAGGAGTTGTTTTTGTTAGTGAATAAAAAGCTTTTGTTTTGAAAGTAATGCATCGTTATCAGTTTACACAACAGGGTATATAATGCCTGCTGGCAGTGAAAAGAGTGTCTTGTGCACTCACAACCCAATGGGTCAGTACCGAACACTAAAGCTGTCAAATGTACAGCAGACCCCCCCAACATTAATAGGTACGGGCACTGTTATATGCACAGATGTGCAGTAAGTGCCACACAGTTGCTAACAGGCCCCCAGCCTGCCACCCCAGGTTGAGCAGACTATACCATAGCACATGACTGTGGCTTCCTGTTAATGTGCTCTTTCAAAGCTTCCATAAGTCATATAGCTCCTCGCTGAGCTCGTCTGATAGCCCTTGTGTCTGGCTGTTCAAACTCAGCAGACAGCCACTCCACCTTCACTCCTGCAGCAAGTTTTCCCCCTTCGCTTCACAGATAGCATGCAGGACACAGCAGGCAGCTATAACCATTGGGATATTTTTCACGCTGAGATCCAAATCTGGTGGTCAAACAGCACCAGCACCCTTTCAATCTACCAAGAGCACATTCAACTGTCATTCTGCACCTGCTGAGACTGTAGTTGAATCGCTCCTTGCTGCTGTCAAGGTGGCCAGCGTGTGGCTTCATGAACCAGGGAAGTGAGAGGTTGGCTGGGTTCCCCAGGTCATTATTGGCATTTCAACATCGCCAATGGTAATCTGCCGGTTGGAAAGAAGGTCCCTGCTTGTAGCTTTCTTAACAGTCCAGTGTTCTTAAAGATGCAACTGTCATGCACCAACAGTGATGTCAGAGAAGCATCCCCAGTGATCCACCAGCACTTGCATATCCATGGAAAAGGTCAGTGCAGTTCTCATTTTGGTGTCCCTGCGCTGGAAGAGTAGGGTGAGCTCAGTGGAGAGGATCCAGGAATGTGACCTTGCGCATCCAAAAATTCTGCAGCCACTGCTCGTCATCCCAAACCTGCATTATGATGTGATCCCACCGGTCAGTGCTCATTTCTTGGGCCCAGAAGCGGCCCTCCACTGTTTGCAGCTGCTCTGTGAGCACCAACAACGACCTTGAATTGGTTCTCGCTATGTCCTACATTAAACTGACTGCCAGGAAATCATCATGTTCCCTGTGATTCTTCTTCTGGCTCTGCAAATACAGGAGGATCCTCCATCTTGTGTTTGCAAAGCTCATGACAACAGTGCAGAGCTGTGCAGGCTCCAGGCTTCTGTCAGAGATGGTGGACAGTGACAGGTCCCACATGGATTCATGGAAAAATCAAAAATAGGTGTGAAAATGATGGGATAGAGAAATTAGGGATGGACAACATTGCATTATGGGAAGTTGACCTCTTGCTCCAAGCCACCACTGTGTGAGTCATTTCTGCTCCACCATGCATTCCCAAAAGACACGGCACTGGATGGTGGGATAGCTACCCATTGGGCACCACACTGTGCATCAACACAAGCACTCCAGGTGAGTACACACTTCACCAATGCAAGGAAACAAGTGTGCACAGGCACAAGCGATGTACTTTCTGCGGCAGCTGTATGCCGACTTAACTTGTCTACACTATCAAGTTTAGCCGCTACATGGCCTATTAGTCATTAGTAGAGCTGATCAGAGAGAAATGGAAATAAAATCATTGAAAAATGTTATGATTTATTTCTCTGTTCTGGGGAGGTTTGGTTGCTTGGTTGGATTGGGTTTAATTTTATTTTCACTTTGAAATTTGAAAAGAAATTGACCAAATATAACTAGACCAAAAACGTGGGAGAAAATGTTGGCAAAAATTGTTAAAATATTTTTCCTTTTTCTTAAAGGTGAAAAATTTCAAGCAGTTTTGTTTTATTTTGATGACTGTTGTGCGTTATTACAAGCCCAACCACGAAATAATGTTACCTCGTTTAGTTATTTGTTCTCACTTAGTCAATGTGTTCTTGACATGAATACTGTCTCTCATCTCTGCCCGACACAGAACATATGGCTTTGATAGTGGGTCTGCCTCTTCTGTTCCTGCTGACACTGAGCGTGCTCATCATCTGCTACTTCAAAAGGCCAAAATGTGAGTTTGCTCCTCCAAGCAAAATGCATCCTATCCAATGAGAGCAACATGCTCACTTCAGATCTTCATCTTAGACCAGGTCCAGAGAGTGTAGGTAACACAGACCACAGACTTTACAGCCAACATCAGAAATTGCTTTGCCAACAAAACTTACAGCAAGAAATCCAGTCTCTGAGCAAACAAAATATGACCCTTACAGAGGACCGTACCAGCGAGGGCACTGGGGCTTATTTACACACACAAGTTGCACCGGTTTAACTTAAATCAGTTCATTATTTTTCTTATTGATCTGTAGGAATTTGTCGTTGCTATTTTGTGCTCCAGGACACTCAGTCTGCCCGTTGTCTGTTTTTAGGTTTCCCAGCTGAGGAAAGCTTTAGGAGCCAATTGGATATGCACACAGAGACGCCAGCACAACAAGGCAAGAATGCACGAGAAATTGCTCCAATTTTTGTCCTCTTGAGGCCAGAGGAAGTCACTGTGGCCTCTTCTCTAGATGTGCTCAAGCGGTCAGGCGACACACAGAGGAGTCAGGTATAGAGAATAAACCTGTGCTAATGATCCCAGGTGGTCCCTTCCAGCCCTATCGTCAATGATTCCAGACAAAGCCAGTGATCCATAGAGGCTAAGGACCCGTTTCAGCAAGTCAGTTCCCTCAGCCCTGGACTCAGGGAGAGTTCAGGGGAGTCACAGGTGCTCAGCTCCTTTGAAAATCAGGCCCTACATCGCTGTTCTACAAGATGCTGAATGCTTCCCAGGCACTCAGGATCCGTCAGGATCAGGCCCTACATTAACCCCGCCCTGTATCTTTGAGGTAGGGGGCAGGGTTTCTTCGTGAAAAGGCTACAGTCACCATTCTGTGTAACTTAAATACTAATTAGTGTGTTTGTTTGTTTGTTTTACGAATTAACCACAGAAGTACCCCCTGACTTGTATCACATGCCAAAAAGCACCACTCGACTCGCACAACAGAAGGAAAGACAACTGCAACCTCAGGTACAAAGCTGCTTTTCCCGTCCCACCGAGCATTACAATGTCAAGTACCCTGCTCAGTTTCCCGCCCCAAAGCAACTGTCTTGTGATCAAGGCTTTTCGTGATCACTTTCAGGCGGCTGGGATGTAACAGAACCCGTGTTCCAGGAAGAGGAACTGCAAGGGGACTAGGTTGCTCTGGGTTTGCAGTAGGGCTTTGTTAGGTTTAGTTCTTTATTTTCTAACACAGAAACACTCTAACTTGCATTTAAAGGTGGGTTAAAGCTAGAGGGGGCCTGGACCAATCAAAACTAAGTGCCCCCCAAAACTAGGTGATACGGGCTGGTGGACAAAACTCACCTCAACGTTCAAGACGTGGGAGGGGAAACGGAAGGTAGTCACTATCTTGGGAATGCAAGACATGTGCCTTCAGGGGTGCGGCCTAGACGGACTGATCTACTCCTTGGATAGTTAAGGCCTCTCTGTATTTCCCAAGCGGGAGGGGATCGTATTTATCTTGCTAATGGACAGAGTCAGGAGTGACGTATAAGGGGGGGAAGCTGCATATCAGTAAGCAGGAGTGAGTTGCAGGGAGAGGTAAATAACTCATTGAAGGGGTGCTGGAAGACGGTATTAGTCACGCTGAGGGCTTGTCTAAACTACTGCGTGGGGTCGATCCAAGATACGCAACTTCAGCTACGTGAATAACGTAGCTGAAGTCGATGTACTTACCGCGGTGCCTTCACTGTGGCAAGTCGACAGCTGACGCTCTCCCGTCGACTCCGCTTGCGCTCCTCATTCTGATTGAGTACCGGAGTCGACGGGAGAGTGCTCAGCGGTCGATTTATCATGTCTATACCCCCGCTGGATCGATTGCTACCCGCGTAGTGTAGACAAGCCCTGATATAGACACACAGACTAAATTCTGAATTTCCCTCATGTCCTTAACCCAGTCCAAAATGAACAGTGTGTGAAGCATTCATGCCTCCCATTCTATCCCATCTGAGAAATAATGACAAAGAAGTGACTCAAGAGCCACATGAAAGCTAAAACCAGCTCTTAATTCTGGTCAGAGCCCCTGGGAGGACTGCAGCCTGCCAGACATGGAACTGCCTGATTTCTAGCTCAGCTCTCTCTCTCCTGGCTTTGATGGTCTTTCACGTACCAAAGCCCCAAAGTTATGTTGATTCCCTCGCACATCTCTTCTGCTAAGAGTCCATTGTAAACAAACCGTATTTAAAAGACTCTTGCAGGGTTTGGAGTGTATCAATAAAAGCAGAGCTTGGTTTTTAACCCTTTGAGATTATTCTCAAGAGTACCAATGATGGCAAAGTTAGAGCGAGAGCCATGTCGGCCTAGATGGTTCCCACATTCCCACTGTGCTTTAAAGCTGATCTCGGAGGTAATGCAGTGGGCTTTGTGTTCTGCCCCAAGAGCTGGGGAAGGAGCCTCTAATTCAGACATTATGGCTTGGTCCTGAATGAAAGAACCATCAGCTTAATTGAAACATATCCATCGCAGGTGGCCACCTCCCTAGTGCTGGATTCTGTACTGGGTTGGATGCTTCGGCTTCATTCGTTCCAAATTCCTGATCTGGAACCCCGAGATCAGGTTTCATGGAGTCTTAACTCATTGGGGCTGGAGGAGAAAGGGTGGATTATAAAAAGCAGGTTTCTGTTATTCTTTCCCGGTTCTATGCTAGTGAAGACCGCCTTTATCCCACCCTGTTATTCTCAGCTGCCATTTTCCTCTCCTTTATTTCTCCAGCTCCTCCCTGCTCATATTGAGCCATCTTCATTTCAGGGCCCCATCCTGAAAAGTGCTGAGCACCTCCTGCAAGGTGTGGCGCATCCTCAGCGCCCATGGAGGTCAATGGGTGTTCAGTGCCTCTTAAGAGGGGTTGATTTCAATTGATTCCTATGGACTTCCCTGGGAGTCAGGCATCGAAATACCTTTCAGGAGCTGGGCCTGAGCCTGCTGCAGTACTGGGCTCGCCACAGCCAACCTGCTTGGGTCCTCAGCTCTTTTTTTAAAGGCCAAGTCGGAGAAACTGCTTTGACCCTTCGAATTTAATACAGATCCTTTAAAAAAGCCGTGGGTGGATTTTGTGTTTGTCGACAGCGTCACACAACTACATAGGCAGGCACGCTGCTTTAGGCACCAGCGAACCCAGCCTCTGCAGGGACTAGCATCCTTCTACCCCAGCTCCCTCTCTGTGGTAGAAGCAAAGGAAAATGTGCTAAGGGGCAGATTAGAAACTCAAACAGTTACTATTGCCCTTCATCCAGGACCTCGGCCTCTAACAAATCTCATGAGGAAAAGCGTTTCAAGAAGGTTTTTCCTAATGAGATCTGAGGAGACTTTGTCTGATCAGCAGCCCTGTCTAATTAACCTTTGCTTAAAGAACATTGGTGGAAGACGGACTCAAGAGGCAAAGGCCAGTTCTGTATTTGGTGTCTTCATTCAATGAGATCCTCAGACCACAGTCATGTATGTGTTTTGTTTTGTTTTGAATGTCCCAGACTCCCGCGAACCCAGCTGAAGACGGCCTGAATTATAGCTCTATGTACTTCAGCCAGGAATATCCAGAGGCTGCACAAATGGATGAAGAGAGAACAGAACTATATGCACCAGTGAAGAAAAAGAAAAGGTCAGCCTCTGCTGCAGTGTACGAATGACATTAGACTAATCAGTGTGGTCCGAGTCACGCTAGATGGCTTATCACACTGGCAGACAAGCCCCAGTTTTGTCCTGTCCGTGCTTCAGATCTCACTTAACATAAACTGCTCTGCCTCCTATCAGACCCAGTTGCAATCCTCTGAGCAGAAACACGGGTTGCAGTGGGACTGTTGCCTTTCTCGCTCCGATATTCGTTGACACAGAAGTGTACCCACAGTCAAATCACTGTTGAATCTCTGTCCATAGAGGCATAAAGATTTTCAAGCTTAATGTTCCTACGGTCTGAGGCTGAAGACGTGTGTGCAAGTTTTTTTATACTGGTCACAGCCACCAATAAACAATAACAATTGCCAAGGTTTCATTTTAATTGTTGAGTGAAGTCCAGCTGCGTTCATATTCCATTCGCAGAACTATTAGTAGTAGGAGTGGAATTATAAGAACACCTACAGGCCCTGCTGAGATCAGGGCCTCCTTGTGCTAGGGGCTGTACATACACATAGTTAGAGACACTCCTGGCCCAAAAGACCTTACTGCCTCAGGGGAGCAGGAAGCAAGCCATGGAGAGATTAAGGAATCTGCTCAAGCTTACAAATATTAAGGGGACATTCGCTCACCAAACTTTCCCAGTGCAAGGTGGGAAACTGAGGTGACGGACACTGCCCAACACACTGTGGGATCAGGTTTGCTTATGGTCACATGCTTTTGAATGTTGTGGTGGTGTTTTCCCAGAGTAATGCTGGGTTCCCTTTCCCCTTTGTGATAAAGGTCCTCTTTTGCTCTACACTGACTCAGTGCTTGCGAGTGGGGAAGTACAGCCCCTTGGAGATGTCCGGGGGGTGTTGGGTTTTCCCAGGTTACTGGATGGGGGCCTGAGCCAATTCTGTTTTGTAGGTTAATAGGAACCCCTAGATACTGAGCCCAGCCCTTGTTGCTGCCAACTCCACCTGGCAGAAGGGTTACATTTTGGGGTTCACAGAGGTGTGTTCACCTCCCACCCCCGGGGGGGGGGGTAGGGTGAGGCATCAAGAAATGTCTCTGCAACTAGCTCACAGCTGCCACCGCTTCTCTGCCATCGCTGGCTGCTGTCTCTCTGCCACTTCTCTGCTGCTGCCACTGGCCACCGTCTCTCTTCCACCACTACTTCTCTGCCACCACTGCTGTCTCTCTTCCACCACTCCTCTGCCATGGCTGGCCACTGTCTCCACTGCCACAATGTCATGTTCTGCAGTTCCACTATTTAACCCAGCTCGTCATGATCTGAGCTCTCAGTGATTTCAGTAGGGAGTGGGGAACCTCATCGCCAGTGCAATCTCTCGGTTGTCTTTCACTATTCCCACACAAGG